ATATAGAATGAAATATTATTTCTCATAAAAAAATAATGTTGATCCATACACTTTTCAATATGTCATAGCATTATAATAGAAGCATTATAGTTGAAAAAGTTCTACTTTCTACATGAATTTTTTAGATTTAAACCCCCCTCGTATATAGGGAAATGGTCCGATTTAAAAAAAACAGTATGTCAAATGAAAAATATATATTAATACTACTCCTCATGAAAAAATTGTACTGATCCATACATTTTTCAAAAAGTTATAGCATAATAAAGTTAAAAATGTAAAATACAAAATCGAAAATTTTCATACAAAAATAGCATTCGGTAGCCATTTTCACCGTGAAGATAAAATAAAGTCCGAAATTTTTTTTTTGCATAATAAAGTATATTACATTAGCTTTAATTTAAGATATATATAAAAGTGTCAGACCTTCCGGAACATTTTCAAAAGTTAAGTTGAAAAAGTTAATTTTTTTTGAAAAAGAGTTCGTTTTAAATCCCCCCCTAGTGGGCAGGTTAAGGGTTAAATTTATGAAAAAAATATACCAAACGAAAGGTTATAATATTACACATCTATATAAAAAAAATTATATTGATATGTTCATTTTTGAAAAAGTTATGGCACTTTTAAGTAAAAAAATTGAAAAAATTTCGAAAATTAGCGATTTTTAAATTTGTAATTTTTTTGGAGGTTTCCCCCATTTACGGGAAACGAGGGCATTTTTTTCAATTTTTGAGGGTAATGTCTTCGACTAGATACAATTTGTGATCTTTTGACGTATCATTGAAAGAAATTGGTTCGGTGAGAGCTTAGAAAAAGTGGTAACAGACACAAAAAAAAAAAAAACACATCTTAGTAAAACCAATACCTTCTCAGCTTCGCATCGAAGCTAAAACATTTAGGTATTCATCAATATTTTATTACAAAGTTATAAAAAAAAAAATTACATTTATTAATCAATAATTATTTCAACATTTTCAAAAATTAAAAAAAGAAATACTATATACATTAGCTTTTTTTAAATGAACCATTTAAATAATTGATCATCACAATAATGACGTTTGAATTGTGATGGAAAATTGAAAATTAAATAGTACATGCTATTCTGATTAATACATATTTGATCTTTAATATATTTTATTGTAAAGCTATCTTGATCATACGCCATATCACGTATGCAATCGTCAGTTGTGCATATGGAGTACATAATTTCATTATTTACATTATGTGATAATATAGAAAAAAAATTGAACTTCAAATAATTTTTTTCCCCAAACAATAAATTGTATACGCCTGAACGGATTTCAGATTTATAAATTTCACAGTCACTTCTAATCATATCAAGCGTCTCGGGAGTTTTTAATGCATCTTCATATTTAATGCCTCCTCAGACACCGTAAAATTTCTTGATTCGTACAAAATGTCTGCCAATATATTAAATTGGCAAACATTTTGCGCTTTCAAGTACTTTACAATGTTTTCGACATCATTTATGCTTAATGGAAGATGCATTGTATAAAATTTTTACGACTAAAATTAATAAAAAGAAATATGTACACTTCGAACTGAATAGTAGAGTTTAGTAACAAAAATTTTAATAACTTACTGTGATTTTTATTCTTTAACAAAAAGAGCAATTTAAACCTCGATGAAAAATTTATTTTCAATATTTGCAAATGAACACAGTGAAAATATCTTCCTAAAGATTAAAAATTATTTTTACAAACATTGCTTCAGAAAAAAATAATATAAATATGTAAAATATAGCATACTTTAACTCGATTTTTGAATTATTTCTCCCCGATTTGAAATGTAACTCAAGGAATATACTGAAATAATTTTACTGAAAATTAAAAAAATATTATTGTCAAAGTTATTTTACTTTGAAAAAAGTAACTATATATTAATATATACATTAATTAATAATATTATGGTCGGCTAGGGCTGGGTTCCAACGTACATAGTATGCGACGTCAACACTTTCACTGGGGCCCCGGCGGCATGACAATCGTCATCCGAAGGGGACTCCCATAGGTAACGTCATTTTGACATCATCACTAATGGCACCCTCACGCTAACTTGGCTTACACCTTCGTATACGACGTCATTTTGACGTCACCGCCACTGGTTTTCCTTGGGTTGTCATACAATCAGTGTGATGTCACCAGCGCGGACTGCATCTCACCTGTGCACCCATTGTTTACCGAGAACAATAGATGACGTATTTGTCGGCACCTTTGAGGGCTCGTAGCGTACACCTGTACATCTATTGTTCTCCGAGAACAATAGCCCATTGTTACGAGAACAATAGGTGACGTCATTGTCGGCACCTTTGAGGGCCAAAACGCATCATACCATTACTACTTGACTCTGTTATAAATTAAAGTTTACATTAAAAAAAAAAAAATAATGTGAAATTCTAGATTGGGATTTAGAGGCCTACAAAGTTAGACATTTTATAAAAATACGGGTATTCTATGTGCAATATCTTTGTTAGGGGACCTACTGATATACAAAACAATTACAAAAATGTGGTTTGAAAACAACGAAAAACTATCATTAAATTATTTGATTTTGAGCGGATTTTTATTGATTTTCTAATGCTAAATTTTACATGTTACACATTTTTCTCAAACTTCAAATATTTATGGCGTATGAAGCAGATATATATCTACAAAACTAAAAATTATTTTTTGAAATTAGGTCAGCCAACAGAGATATTGCACATAGAATACACGTATTTTTATAAAATGTCTAACTTTGTAGGCCTCTAAACCCCAAGACAATTGTTTTAAATATTTGAAATTTAGTTGAAACATAGATTATACACTATACAATATCATATGTAAAAATCACAATAAAATAATAACTTCCTAATAATTTTGAGTGAGTTCAAAAACGCCAATTTTCACAAAATAGCACCATTTTTTAAAAGTCATTAAAGTTTAGAATTTCCCATAATTTTTTTTTAATGTAAACTTAAAGTTAAAATAGGGACAAATATAAAATTTTAGTTCGATTGAGTAGACATTGAATAATCGTTGTGTTTTCTAACGTTCTAGCTATTTTTAATTTTTTTGCATTGAAATATCCATAAAAATGAGTCATAAAAAAAAAAGAAAATTGATATAATAATAATAATAGCATAAAGAATAAACCCTGAATATTCAGCAAATTATGATGTTGTCTTGAAACCACTTCTGGATGATTTGGTATGGATAGACACCTAATCGTCTATAGTATAAAAGCAGTAACAATAATATTGTATATTCAACAACAATAACATCGGCTGATATAAACAATATGTTTTGAAACAAATTACATCTTAAAAAAACACATTCATATTTATTTGGGCCCCTTTTAATGTTTATAACATTAAAATTGTCTTTCCATATGAGAATATGAACAGATGTAATCTTCATTCTACCAATTACAGTTTTATTACTCAAATGTTTAATAGTTGTGGCGAAGTTCTTAACGCCATACTTAAGAGAAAACTATAAGTCATATCGGAATAAGGAAAGTTCGTTGGGATGATTAAGCTTGTAAAGATTTTAGCTTATTAGATCAATAAGACTGTGTTGTAATTTTTATTATATGTGAAATATTTATTGTGATTATCTTTATCGGCGGCTATTGTCCACCTGTGTGGCTATGACAAAAGTTACTTCGAGTCTAATCGTTACCGCAGACGTATCAATGCATTTGTTTTCCAATAAAACCTTATACGAATTTTACAATAGTGTGTAAAAACTTTAGTTAATATAATAACTTTACAAGAAACTTTACAAGGTCTACAAGAAAAATACAATACTGTTAGTATTGTAAGCTAAATTCATCATGATTATTATTTATTTTAATTAAAAACATATGTATTAGTCATCTTTAACTCACAAATAAACCAATACTTGTTGCCTTTAAATTATGAACAATTTATTATTAGTATTTTTAGTTACATAAAAAACAATTTATTTGATTTTATAAATATGATAAAAGTTATTATTACTTCAATTATTGTACAGTTTATTCATAATATAAAAAAGCTACGTACATTAAAGTATCTAGTTTCAATTTTCATTGTTATATGTTCAGTGTTTCTTTTTTTATAACATTAAAAGAATATTTTGGAAGTGTTTAAACAAACGGTCCTACGTGACAACGACAAAGTTTAGTGTCGACTGCGTTTTTATATGTATATTGTTATTACCACCGAATTAATTGTGTAATTTTTTTACACCATTTTCATAGTATAAAATAGCTCAAACTTCTTTTCTTCAGAACATCAACGTTAGATTTTCACTCATAAAATTTTTGCAATTTTCTTCAATATGATTTTATTTAGTTGTGTGATGTTCATTGTTTTAAGTAAAATTAGTACGTGTCCGCCAATTCATTTAAATAATTTATCACTTGATGTCGTATGTGAACATATAAATAAACACGAAGATTTGCTATCTTTAGAATTAATATATGATGCATATCGACATACAGAAAACGGGAAAGAGGTGTACGAATTATTTTACTTTGGTTATAAGATTCCTTTAATATGCAAGACTTCTATTAGAGGAGATACCTCAGAAGAGATTAAGGACGTAGTTATACAAAATCGTAATGATCCATTCGAAGCCATACATCCAAAAGGACTACTAAATTGGTTTAGAAATATTATTGAAAGCCTTGGAATTACAATACTATGTTTATATAATAAAAATATTACATAAATGGTACAGACTTCAACAAGTGAAAACGAAGCATTTAGTGATCATTTTAATAAACTCGTTACTATTTGTGATAATTTATTAAAAAAATTTAATATTTATAGATTACGTAGAGAACCAATTGTTTTTGTTCTAACGAGCATCGTGCCGGTGGATGGCATAAAGAAACTTACAAATATATTTTTAGTATATAATTTTTGTCTTGGTGATTATAATGCCGCATTCTTTCAAGGCGCTAGCGCTGGGACACATCGGGCCATCACAATTACATCTTGATAAATCTTTTTAAATAGATATAAATATTTTTGAATTTTGTATTGGCCAGGCCAGAGGAAGATTTAAGAAATATTGGTGTCGATCAAATAAAAATCGATCGAATAAAAAAATACTCTCTAAAAAAAAATACTTATTCAACAAATGTAAAAAAATTAATAAGGTCAAATTATTATTGTGAAATAAGATATTGGAAGATCATCATGAACACCATATGCTTTGTGAAATTTTAATAAGCCATCCATGAATTTTAGTGAAACATCTTCATTAACAAACCAAAAAGGCTGTTGATTTCTATTACTATTTGATTGGTAATACAATTCATTTTCAGAACTATTTGATAAAGGATCATCTAAAAATAATATTAAACAATTAAATAAGTTTTAATATTTATTTCTACTTAATGTGAAACATTGTTCCATAAAATTTAGATTATTCTAGTTAATATTTTGTTGAATTTTACAGGATTATTAAAGGTATTTTAAATAATGTTAAAAAAATGTCTATAATACAATGGAAAAAGAAATTATATTGTTTTTAATGTAATAAATACTAACAATTTTTATTGTTTTTAATCATTATTATTAGTGTTTTACATCCACTCTTATAAGCTATGGTTGTATAAGAGAACACAAGGAAACCTACATAGCCCAGCCACAACAGAATTGCACCCTGTTACTTATACACAAAGACACAATTTGTTACTGACAGGATTAAGTAATCCATCATATATGATTATCATCATTACTTATTAAGACAGTAATATGCCTACAGGATAAAATTTTTTCTCAATTGTATTTTAATATTGCTCTAAATAATTAATTTATTCCATTGTATTCATTTTAAATAAAATTAATACATATTGGTTACCATTCTAAGTCTTACCACCTAAGAAAATAGCAAGTTTTTGTTCAATTTTAAGTCCATTAGATTCATTCTAAATGTTTTCAACCAAATTTTATATTTCTAGCTAAAAATAAAAAAAAATTATTCATGTAAATCAAATATTAGGCATTTGATTTTTATACAATTACTCACAGATGTTTTAATACAATATACTACTATTATTAATCGAGGAGATTGCATTGATCAGATTTTCTTTTTTATTTCATTGTTTAAATTCATGTACATAACTATCATGATGCCTCTTTTTGATGAGTTAGGAAATATGGACATTTTAAATTCTAAAAAAGAAATTTTACATAATATAATTTGTATATCTAGTGCTATTGTACAAAATAATGTTAGAACTAATTTAAAACATAGAATACTAAATACTAAATTTATTAAAACATTAAGATAATCTAGATATATAAAATGCCAAACATTTTATGAATTGAGAAATATAATAAAACAAATATATGAGAAGGTTGACAACAGCAAAGTAACATAGAAAATTATTAAGTGAATTATTTGACTATCTTTTTTCCCAGCAACATTTCAATTGTATACTAAATATTAAAACGAGCTTATATATATGTAAAGATAAGTTTTTGCAAAAATGTTATAAGAGATATATAGACCAAATTATTAAATGTGGAAGATTTTTGAGGAGATAGGAACGATTATTGAAATAGAAAAGTATAATGAGATAATAAAGAATAAAAAACAGGGAAAAGAAGTTGCAAGGGTTAACATAGAGGATTCTAATGAGACAAATAATCCTGAAATTAGTACTGATATGGATAAACCAGAATCGGTCGTACCATTGAGTGTAATTATGAAACCAATAAGTACTTTGGATTATGTATTATTGTTATTATGTATTCTTAATATGTTATTTATTTTGTTTAATTTAAGTTAACTAATATTTGAAGATAATTATTAATTATTAATTCTTACTTATAGTAGAAAAGTGTGATAAAGGACTTTAATATCAATACTCATTAAAACTTTAATCAATTTTAAGTTACTTAAATTAATAGAGAATTGTACAATTGATGATGGAGTAGATTTATCTAGAATTATTTTGGCTCTAATGTGTCAAATTTTTTTTTTGAGTTTGATTGTCATGAGTGGTAACAGAAGATAGGTTTTACTGTGTTACTTCGTTCACTTTTCTATTCCTCTAATATAAGAATCTAAAGAAAATTATAAAAATATTTCAAATAGTAACAATTTGCGTAACATCAATGTACTTTTTACTAACGAGTTGATCCAATTAATTTGATAATATCAATTAATTTGCATAAAGACCGTGATACTATGAAGATACTATCATATTTTTTACTGTTTGATTAAACTCTATAACAAGACCTCCCCATTTCCGTAGATACATTTGCATTCTATCATTGAAATCAGTAATAATGTATTTACTAGTTTTTATTAGCCAAAAATGCTCTCATCATTGACGACAAAACCACATACCCAACAATTTTTAAAAGAGCAAATTAATAGAAAACTTGGAGATATTAAAGTAATACTTTTTTTAATTTTTACATTTTAATTACTACATAAATAATTGATCTTATTAAAATTGAATACTCTCAACTTCTGCATAATTTAATATGTAAAGTATTATTGAAGAATAAAAATATTTTTGAGAAGTTTATTATTAAATTTTTAAAAATAAATTAATATAAAGATATTTATTTATATTTAAAGTTTCAGGAGGATTAAAGTCATATATTTAATCTTCGTTAACTTGAAATAGATAATGTGAATTTACCAGTCACTTCAAAAAAATTGAAATTTTAGATTTTCAACAAGTATGTGTTATGTATTACAATTTTAGTGGCTTAATTACAGGAATAGTAAAGGGAATTTAATTTCTTTCAAATATTTTAGAAATATTATAATACTGTATAATTACTAAGTACATTAACATAGCTCTTACATGAATTATATTGTATATTAATCAAAGTACCATTAAAATAGTTGAAAAAATAATTTTTAAAAGGTAGTGTAGTATATAAAAACAACTCTAGTATTGTATAAAAATCATAATGCCTAATATTTGATTCGTATGAATAATTTTTTTTTAACTAGTAATAAAAGATTTGGTTGAAAACACTTAGAATGAATCTAATGGATTTGAAATTGGACAACAACCTGCTATTTTCTAAAGTGGTAAGACTTATGTTGTAACCAAAATAAATTAATTTTCTTGAAGTGCTTAAGGATTTATCCATGTTTGTAGTTGAGTCTTTAACGTCAGAACTCAATTACAAACATGGATAAATCCTTAAGCACTTCAAGAAACAAGACAATCCATGAAAGCTTTAACACATTCATTAAATTAATTTTATTTAAAATTAGTTCAATGGAATGAATTAATCACTTAGAGCAATATTATAATACTTAAGAGAAGAAATTTTATATCAGTCTTGAAGGCAAATTACTGTCTTAATTAGTAATTTAATAAATAAAAAAATAAGAATTCCAAATAAAAAAAATAATAAAATAATTTAAATAATAAATAACTCTCTTAAGGTAATCAAACAATTCTAGGGGGTGTCACTAGAATCTTAAAAGTTCATTATTAACGGCCACTCTAACTGACACTAAATAGTATCTTCCAAATCTACTATGGTAATGTTGTCATTTTTAGTAGCTAATAAATAAATATCACAAATATTTTACTGTTTAAGATATTTTATTTATTTTTTGCAGATTATTATTTAAAAGTAACAAAAAATTCGTAAGTAGGCAGCTAGGAGACACCGATTCAATGCTTATAAAAGAGTACTGAACAGAACAGTAAATGACTGACTGAAGAGACTTCCATTCTACTAGAGTAATGCTGTCAATTTTAGTAGCTAATAAATATTAAAAATATTTTACAATACTATTTATAAAAATTAATTATTTTATGTGTTTAATTGTTATGATTGATAATAAAAAATAAATTCTGTACTCTCACATTTACTAAGCCAATATATTGTAAAACAAATTATAAATCATATTTAATGTGTTAAAAATTTCATAATTAATTATGTTGTGTCTTGTATATTACAAAAATAAATAAATAAAAATAATACCTAGATATATTTTATTATTATTTAATTATTAATTTGTATAGTATTCAAAAAAAAAAAAGACACACCTAAATTTTATTATACTAAAGGGAGTAAACCTATAATTTAATAAATTTTCAATTTCAAATACTAGATTATTTTCTCATAATGCTGTTCAATTTTATTCTAATGAAATAGACAAAAATTATTCAATACATGTATAAAAAGTGATTATTTTGTATATTTTTATTCATTACAAATGGTATAAAATATAAATTCTGTACATTCTTATTTAAGCTTATTATATATTGTAAAATAAAATACAAATCATATTTAGAGTGCATATAAGTCATAATACCCAAATATTTTCTATTATTATTAAATGANAAATAAGTCATAATACACAAATATTTTCTATTATTATTAAGAGGACGCCATACAGAGAATGAAAAACGGGTTTAAACATGTTTTGTGCGGGACTACTTCATTTGATCTGTATTGATGCTAGAGTTCCAAATTTTTTACCAAATTATAGAGGACAAAATTATCTGTGATCTAGCGTTTTTATTTTTTTGTTAACATAATTTCTAGTACTTTATATTTACTATTAAACATTCCTATTTTTTTGGTTTTTTAAATGTTTTATAAATAGCTTCAGAGTTGTGTTATCAAAATTATAAAAACGCTAGATCACAGATAATTTTGTCCTCTATAATTTGGTAAAAAATTTGGAACTCTAGCATCAATACAGATCAAATGAAGTAGTCCCGCGCAATACAGTTTTTATGCAAAATAATGAATTTTTTGTCTATCGATATGTGTCGGTCCCTAGTGGCATTTATAAAATGACGAATTTTTTGTTGAATGACGGTAACCGATTACCCTCACCCTTCAACTGCTACCTTGCCTTCGATCAAAACCAGTTATTTTTATACTTTGTTATCGACGAACCGGGGTACCATTTAGCAGTCGCTTATCTGAATTTGTAAAATAATTGTTATTATTGACGGGTGATGAGACTTAAATTTTAACTTTACTGTGTTCATTTTTACACGTAAATAATAATGCAAATATAATACAAATATCTATTGATCGGAAATCTGTCAGAAATTTACGTGGAGTTTTATTTTGTAACATTAGAAAACATTCTTGTTACGAATATGAGTCCACAGTATACATTATATTCGTGGGTAGCTGGACGGATCAACCATCTTTTTAGTAGCCGGCGAAAATTAGATATTCTTTCTCCAAAAATTAATTATTTACCAAAAAAATAAAGGTCATGAAAAATTTGAGTATGAATTTAAAGTTCACCGGTCCTGATTTATTTATACGTTCTATATTATATCATTTAATTTTTTGTGAGTTTTAAGACTCGTGTATCAGTTTTACAAAAAGTTTGTAACACGAATAATAGGCCTTGGCATTATTAAACAGCATTTTACAAATTTCTGATTAACTATGAATAATATATTCATATGTATACATTATATGTATCATAAATATTATGATACATAGAATATTCCTTACATAATACATTTATTTTATATATGTATTGAGTGGGCGTACGCACTAAGTTTACTTGCATTATAGTGAGTATAAACTTAAATTAAATTTTATATGAGCATTTCGACATTCAAATTTTTCAATCTAAAATAAAATCTGCAATTGTGTATTTTTTTAATTCAGAGATAAACATTTTTAATTTACATTTTTTGCAAATACCAGGTTTTTCACGCCTATTTTAATTTAAGGTAAGTTATAAATAATAATTCTTTGGAATTTGAACGAAATGGTAGAAAAATAATATATGATAAAGGTATTTTTGATTTTTTTGATAAAATGTGAAATGGCATTTATTTTATGATTTCTATATCCGTTTNATGTGAAATGGCATTTATTATATGATTTCTATATCCGTTTGTTTGATAATTGGTATAAACAAATGTATCTAATATACATTCGTTTATGTGTATTATTTCTTGGTAATATCTTTTATAATTTGGTAATAAATTTTATACTGACCAAATAAAAATTTATACTTTTATTTTTTGCTTTATTGTGCATTATAACGTTACACTGAAAGTTGATATTTAAACTTTACCACGTTTTGTGTATTTTGTGAAACTCGCGTTACTTATAATGTCACCTAAAAAGCAACGTGCTTGTAAAAGAAAAAATATTTTATCAAAAACTAAACTTAAATTAAGAATGAAGAATATCCAGAAAAGATTCCATAAAGATAAGTCGTAAGTAAATTTGATAACTTAATTTTTGTTGCTGTATATAAAAACAAATTTGCTGTCACTAGAGCTGGCTGCTTATGATATTCCATATTTGTTTCACTCTAATTGTATTTGATTTATAAAATTAAAATTTTAAAAATCATTTCACATCATTTTGAGACTATATTTATCATAAAAATCGATTATATTTATAAATATATATGTATATAATACATATATATGTATATAATACATATTATTTAGATATTAAAAAACATACTTCAAAATTTATACCTTAAATTCATATTTAATTTTTTAATGTTCTTATTATAAGACGAATAATTATTTTATATAGAAAATTGAATGAAATACCACATAATGAGTCAACTTCAAATTATGATGAAAAATCTCATCCTATAACAAATATCACTTCATTCAATCATAATTTACTTCAAAATAGTATTAATCCGGATTTATCGTAAAGGTCTTAAATGGTTTTATTTATACAATTTTTTTTCAAAATATATCATAAGCTTTTAACGTTGTAAGAATGTAGAGATAATATTACCACACATTTTAAACCTTCTAATTTTTAACATAATAATAATATATCTCATTCTGTAAGAAATAGTACTCCTCTAAATCGTAGTTTATTGAAAAATAGTATAAATCAGGATTAATAAAAATTTTATTTACATCACTGTTATCATAAAATCTTTTGATTTTTTTTAAACTAAGAATCAGTATGGTCATACATGATACGCCCTCCAGTTCTGAAATGACAGAATGGTCACAATCCAAGTGAGTAATTATATCATAATAGTTTTTAAAATATTTCAACCCCTNAGTTTTTTAAATATTTCAACCCCTATTAAGAAATAATTATTACTTATAAAATTATTTATAATTTAATTAAAAATATTTATGAATATCTTTTTCTGTATCTTTTTTACTCAAGTGACTATAGTACATCGGAACATAGTTTAAGTATCCATATGGAAAAAAATAGTGTTTCATCGATTAGTGAAAATGAACCGAATAACCAGTAAAGCATTTCATTAATAATTTACTTATGTATTCAATAAAAACTTCAATTTTCTAGAGAATTAAGTGGTAGAAGAATTGTCAATATATCACATTTAATTCAACAAATTCAAAAGCGTCATGGTGGCCCATATGATTGCTCGTTTGTCGACATGGAATATGAGTCAGAGGTGATCTATGGCTTTTCATCAGTTATCACATTCAAATGTAAAGTTTGTAACATAAAAACTAAATTACATACAGAGGATATGAAACAGTCGGAGATGCGAATAAATAAAGCTGTCGTAAATGCTTGTCATGCAATTGGAATTGGTCATACTCAGCTACAAGAATTCGCGGGATTTCTCGACTTGCCTGTTTTGTGTAGTAGAGGTTTTTTGAATATTCAAACTGAGGTAGCCGAAGTAGTTCATGCTACTGCATGGGATGAAATGAAGAAAGCCGGCGACGAAGAAAGAAAATTAGCATTTGAATCTGGTGACGTAGATATCGATGGCACGCCAGTTATTACTGTTGTCACTGATGGCCAATGGTCCAAGCGAAGCTACAAGACCAAATATGACGCATTATCTGGAGCAGTAAGTCCCTACAAGAACATTATATATTTCTTCTGCTTGTTACACAACTCACTAATATATTTTTTTTAATTTGTTAATAATATTGTCATTTGAATGATAGTTATACATTTATACATTAATTAATGTATAATTAATGGTTGTTTTTAAGACAGTATTAAGTTTAAAATACCAACTTTTTATGTCGCCTCTAAAAATCAAAAATATTTTTACATCAAATGGTTGTAATAAAAAATTTAAATAAAATTATTAAAATAATTCTAACGTTTTGTTTACACGTAGGCAACAATAATTGGACTAAAAACTCAAAAAGTTTTATTTGTTGGAATACGTAACAAATATTGTATAATTTGTCAAAGGGCTTCAAGTATGAAAATTAAAAATGTACCAGATCACAAATGTTTTCTTAACTGGAAAAAAGCTTCAACATGCATGGAAGCAGATTGCATTCTGGAAGGATTTTCTAAAAGCATCGAAATGCATGGTCTTAAATATAACTGTTTGATTGGTAATTAATAAATTATATACAAGTACTAAATTATTATTATTGTGTTATTACATTGATAATAAAAATATATTGCTTGATAGGTGATGGCGATAGTAGTGTAACTAAACGATTGGTAGAAAGTCGACCATATGGCATTGAATTCAATATTAAAAAAATTGAATGTAAAAATCACCTTTTGAGAAACTATACTTCAAAACTTACAGCTATGGCCAGAAACACAAAGTATCCACTTCGTGTTCGCAAGTTCATATTGTCAAATATTCTGCGGTTTAGAAGTGATGTTCAAAAAGCTGCCCTTCATTGGAGAAAAGAAGCAGGACTAACCAAATTACAAAAAATTAAAGGTATCAATTTATAATATTATTTTACTCAGTCAGAGAATCAGATTCTTTATTACATTTTATTTTGAATAACATGATGTTCAGTTTAATTTTACATGTACCATTAACTTGATACATTTTAAGTTTTAATAAATGTATATTATTTTAGGTCTTAAGAACGACTTAATTAATGCACCCTATCATAGACTTGGCCAACATACAAAATGCAGTTCATACTTTTGTACTGGATCAAAAGAAACAACTATAAATTTAGTTCCAGA